GAACGCCCCTACTTACGAATTTTTCGAGATACGATCAGCTCCGGCCCCAAAAATTTACCTTTACTTATGAACTTGCCTCGACTTATGAACTGGATCCGTGGCCATTTTCCGCCCGTTCCACGTGGTCCGGCCCTTTTTCCCCCCCTGACGCGTGGGCCGCAGACGCTGGAACGGGTTAACAGAAATTAATTGAACCTTATGGGAAAATTTACTTTGACTTGCGACCAACTCGACTTGCGATCAGAGTCACGCACGGATTAAGTTTGTAAGTAGAGGTACCACTGTATTTATTTTCAGATTCTTACTCCCTGTTATACCATACCCCCTATTTAATTTTACTACAAACAATTTGGAGTCTCAGCCAGCAACACAGTTTTGTTTCCGTACAAAAGTACATCTACATTAATGTTCTTAACCAACACCTCTGTTGTCACAAGTATCCTTTATACATTAATAGATATATTAAACAAACAAGGAGATATCACATATCCCTGTCTTACTCCCTGCTCAGTTTTGAACCACTTGGTAAACATCCCCTTTATTCTCACACATTTTACTTACTTCATATAGTGCTCTTCCTACATTCAGCAACCAATCTTCAACTCCAAGTTTGTGCAAAATATTCTATAAGTCAACCTACTCGTCAACCATATGCTTTTTCTAAAACAATAAAGATTATTACTTCCCATATTGATACATATTTCAAGAGACGGTTGAAGAGCAAAATTCTGTCTGCATATCCTTTGTTTGGCATAAGGCAAGACTGCATTTCCAAAATTTTGTTCATGTTTATCTCTTATACCCTTTCAATCAGTATTCTATCAAATAATTGCCAGGACACTTAATTTATTAAATTTGTTATAGCTGCCCACTCCATTAGACTCTGGGCAGCTTACAAAATCCAAAAAACAATAAAAACAATTAAACAGATAAACAGGAATCCCAGACTGAAAAAAAAACAGAACAATAAACTACACAGATATGACAGGGGCTCCACAAATGCATAAATAAACACATTAATACCAGGCCTGGGTATTTAACAAACATATCTCCCTGTAATTTTTGCATTTACTCTGTTGTTCATTTCACTCAAGGTGGTTACAAGCACAGGTGATGACTGACCATAATTAGCCAGCCAATTGGGAGTTTGGTTAGAGGATGGAGTTGCCTTCCAAGGGGTGACCCAAGTTATGTTCACCTCCTGCCCTGGTTTCCTGCGGTGGTTCCTCTAGCCCAGTGCTTCTCAACTTTGACAACTCAAAGGTGTGTGGACTTCAACTCCCAGAATTCCCCAGCCAGCATGGCTGGCTGGGGAATT